AGCCAACTGATCGTTTATTAAAAATCACTCGAGAAAAAAAAAAGTAATTTTCATCGAAAAACTAAATAATTAATGAAGAACCAACACGATTCATAAATAATTCAAAAGAAGATGCAAAACAACTCTTGTGATTTATTCTAAGTTATTAATTTATGTATTCATTCTTTAAAAAGAACAGAAATAATAAATTAATGGTAATTTCAGGCAGTTTTCGAGTCTTTAGCAGTTACTTGTAAAGTACCGATGGTAATCAAATATTGACCTACACCATACGTGAACATAACAAATAAACCTGGTGTAGGTAAGGGTGTAACAAATCTGTTGAAAGCTAAGATCGAATCTGACAAAACGAAGAATACTGCTCCAGCAAAAACAGACCAAAATCCAGAAGCTTTTCTATCACGTAAATAAGACACGTAAGCCATGCCGACAATTACAATAGTATAAAGAATTACAGGTATGAGTAAACCTTTTGTTTCTTCTTTGTTTGTATTCAATCTTGGAGAAAGTATGTAGATCATAAGTGTAATATAGACTACGAATGGAATTGATGCAATCATCATGGCAGACATCGTTAATCGGCGTCTTAAGACATCTCCTTCATGTTGAAGTCTAACAATAAATGCAATGATATAACTAATATGAGCTATTAAAAATGAAACCAAACCAAAGAAAAATAAATCATGGTTATGTAGCATTAGTAATAGATCGCCAAACCAAGAAAAAATAAGTGCTATCACTAAACACCGTCGTTCAAGAGACAAATTATTGTGTGCATTTAAAAAAAATAAAATCAATAATACGGGCATTAATAACGGTTTGACAGTCCACATAATGATATTATTTTGAATTATTTCACTGTACATGTCTATGATAAGTAGAACTGAAAACAGTAAAGACAATGGTCCAATATACACCATTGTGTTTTTTTTGTCGTTTGTTGTAATGAAATAAAAGTTAGATTCAGATGCAAAGAAATATTTTTCGTTCGTAAAGATAAGAATCATAAGTGGTGGCTTGTATTTATCAAAGAAGAACTATATATTGCTAAGTGCTTTAGAATGATGATAAACAGAATAAAAATACATAACGCACAGTTTAAAAAGATGATTTTAAGACAGCAACAAAAAGAATAAAGAAACATTATGACGATGATATGACAAATCATTTGAATTATATTTACGGTATTGAGTTATATTGTCTCAAAATATCTGAAAAGAGTAACAAGAGAAAGTTTCTCAAATGCTAGTAGTTTTATCGATTTTTCTATATTCATCAAAAATCTCTGTTATTAATGAATAACATCCTTCATTAAGTAATTGAATATAATCACTATGAAGTTCTTTCAGATGAGATATCACTTAAAGTGAATTAGATTCATTTTTTTTGTCGTTCGATTTGATAAGAAAAATGAAAATGAATTATAATCCTTCGATCTCGAACTTAAATTGAAAAATAGCTTGTTAAATCATCCTTTTGAAACTGGTTTTTATTGTTTGGTTATCATACTTGGATGTTTGCTGAAGAGCAGTCTAGACTGCATGATGATATCAAATTAGTAAGAGATTATCGAATTGAACTCATGAAACGATTGAATGAAAGAAAAAATATATACAAAAATATTGTGATATAAATTTTGTAAATTTTCAAACTTATATATTTTAAATTAACTTGTACAGAAAATTAACATCTTTAGTGTTTATCAAACACTGTAATTACCAAGTCGAGAAGTCCTATTTCCAATATTTGTGTTTAATGAAAGTGATTCAATGTTGTTATCTATCGCTATATTGATACTATCATCACTATCATTATCTTCTTCTTCTTCTTCGTTGACTCCTACGTAATCCTTTGCATCCTTTCTATATAATTTATAAATCTTTCTTACAGCGAATCGTCGTTAATAGGTATATCGCAGTATTTATGAGCGAGTGCACTTATTTTTCTGCTACCTTTCACTTGTGATCGGCACCAAAACAAAAAGCTCAATGAATACGATTACCACTACCATTGTCCGAGTATATGTATACGCAATAGATCAATAAAACTATAATAAATCCTTAACCATGGAATAAAAACATCATGATGAGACAAGAGACAGCTACACAAAAAAATGAATATATATTTATATTTATTAATAGGCTGTGACTACAGTTAATGGAAGCAGTTTGTGGCCTCTATATGATCATAGCCATGCAACATAATAAACATCTTTTTTTTTGAACACAATAACATACAAAAGAGCAAAAACAACAAAAAATGAAAAAATCGAGATTTCCATTTGAAATTTACGGTAGATATTGTTCTATGAGTAAGAACAAGGTCTAATTCTTGAAAGAATTTTCAGATGACAATGAGATCAGTGTTTTATCCAGGTTTTTTGCTCCCGGAGGGCGAATTTAGTTCTCGGGGGAGATGCGGGGGCAAGCGAAAGTTTTCGCAGTTGAAAGTTTTTTAAGGCCCCCCCCCCCTCAAAAAAATCAATTTTGGCCAAATTTATCGATTTCGTGATTTATAACTCATTAGATAGAGCAAAGTGTCTACTCTAGAATGCACTATAGTTGATTGATTTTATAATGAGCTTTAAGAATATTACATAAGTTTTTCTGAACCTTCATATTGGAAAAAATAAGGCTTTTAACAACCTATTTTCCGTTTTTTTCAAAATCAGTTTTTTCGAGTATACAGTTTACGCGGGCACGCCTTTCTTAATAACGACTCAATAGGGAAGGGATAATTTTTTCTTATTGCATAGAGAACAAGTGGGGCTAGATCCTAATAGAGTCCGATTTTTGAATTTCTCTTCTGCTGAAATAAAAAACTTGAATCTTTTGTATCGTTTAGCGACTTTTTTGACCATAAATTCGAGAATTTTTCGAAAAGCGTTTTTTAAAAACAAACGAAGGGAAATTCAAAAATCGGACTCTATCAGGATCTAGCCCTAAGGGTACTCTACAATTTAAAATCCATGCCGACATGCTTAGCTAATATCCTCATGTTGAAAACCTTACCCGCGTAAAAGGTATTTTTGACCAATGAACCGACTAGAACTTGTGCATATCTTTGAGATTTGGGGGAGATACTTTAACCGTAATCTATCCTAACCTAGACTAACATTCTCTGAAATTTTGGTTGAAATCGAATGGAATATAACAAAGTTGATTTCTGAGAGGGGGGCCCTTAAGGCGATTTTCTTATCTTGATATTTTCCGAAAGATAAAATAGGCAGTAACGATGGAAATACTCCTCTTCTCAACTTTTAAACAGAAAATTCCTGCACCGTTGAAAAATTTCGAAATAGTGATGTACAACGAGAAAGTTCGACGCTGATTCAAATTACTAAAGCATTATCATTGAATTATATTCACCAAAATACGTGTTTGACCGGAAAAAGTTCAACGAAAAAATGTTGAAAAAATATGGATGTGAACAGTAGTCCAGAACTTTTTTTTGAAAAATTCTGCCCAGAAATAGAATGATAAATTATCTCTACGAATATCATTCAATAGAAATCGTCAGCGAATATTAAAGATTAATATGTCCTGAAGAAATAGAATGCATTATTTCTTCATAAGCGTCAATTTAAATTCTAACGCATAGTTAAGAATAACCATTTTCATTTACTTCATATTTGATTTTTCAAGCTTTTCAAAAGAAGAACAACTAGGCTCAATAATTTTCTCCTAGAAGGCCTCGAAGGCTTTTGGAAAGAGCTGAGTACCCTTCAACCGTCTCTAGATCCGCCACTATTTTTTATACTGATAAAACTAGTCCAAATTTTAACACAAAAATTCAATTTTTTCAGTCAGTTTGAAATTACTTTGTTTAATATTTTTTGTACGTTTAATTTTGACGAATCTATTCAATCTGAGGCAATTTTCATCATTAACGAATTTCGTATCATTGACATATGAACGTGCTTTATCTCATTCACTCCAATTTAGATATGGGCATAATGAGATCAGGACCAAAATTTTTTGACCGAAATCGGGATCGAACTCCGAATTTTTTCTGGTCAAGATCAAAGTCAAAAATAACTGATCTCACTCATGTTTAGTTGTAGTATATCAATAAGATATCTCGAACTTATTGATATTGCTAGAAAATTATATCGAATTTTCCACTAGCAAATATGTTACTAAGTGAAAAGATAGGACCAAAACGTTTTTTCTGATCGGCACTAGGATTGAGGTCAAAAATGACTGGTCTCGTTCATATCTACTCCGATTAAATGGTTCATTAAATAGAAAATGAAAGAGAAAAAGTTTGAATAAAAAATTTTCTCTAATGAAACCAATTGATCCATCAAAAAGATATATTTATACCAAGAAAAAATGACAGATTCTCAAGATCCCGAATCCTTGAGAGTACCACGAGAATCCTTGAAATCTTGGGAGTACGAAATCCGTCGTTTCCTCTTGATTGTCATCGTTACATATAATAACAAACAATTTTTTTGTCAAAATTTTATTATTATGATATTAGACGAGCTATGATGACATATCACAGAAAAATAGAGCATTCTCGAACGTTAACCAGACAATGACAAAAAAAAACGTCTGAATAAAAATAATTTTCTCTTATTGAAAACAATTGACCGTCAATAAGACGTTTTTTTTTCTTTCTGAATGGCCTGCAACGTTCATTCGTCAATCAATATCTATATAAGTGCTGTGTTGTTGTAAAAGCATTAGTGTATTGATATTAAAAATATGTGTATCATCCGAAATTTGAAAAATTCGACAGAAGAAGAAAGTCAAATAGAAGTAAGTGTTAATTCCACATTTCAGCTATTTTTCACTTTCAAGAAAAATAATTTTTTTCTCTTCGAAACGTAATATCAATTGATGTAATCCAACCAATAATTTTTCTTTTGTTTTTTCTATTTTCAAAATAAATAAGAGTCTTTATATTTGATGACGTTTTATTGTATATTATAAATCAATTAACTTCTTCCATTTTTTTCTTCTTCATCAGTTTTCTAAAAGAGAACTACAACGATGATTGCTTTTGGTGTAGAAGCAAGTCAAGTGTCGGTAGAATAGGAGCAAAATTAATGGAAATGTATCAGCTGTTGATTTCTATAGTGGGGACTGTATACTAAATTGTGCTGATTTTTTTTTCTTTCTTTTTTTATTTTATCAATATTTCTGTTTAGAACGTATATGATACAAATCAAGCAGCAGCTATAACAACAACAAATGCTTCTTCACAATTTTACATCACAGAATTATTAATTAATCCTGATGAACAAAATGAAGCATTATTTGATATAAACAAAATAGTTGATGATAATACAAAACTACGTGGAGAAAATATTAAATTTCAAAAAGAGATTACAAAACTTCATGATGATAATTTAAAACTTCGTGATGATAATACAAAATTGCGTGAAGATAATCTTAAATTTCAAGAAGAGATTACAAAACTTCATAATGATTTTAAGAAATTTCGTGAAGATATTACTAAAATTCTTGTTAATAATTCAAGATTACAAGGTGCCAATGATACTGCACCTAATGAATTCAATGAACTTGGCAATTAAGAAAAATATGAATATTTATTTCAAATAAAACCACTAAATAATGAACAAACAATTGGATTTAATACTTTTCATGTTTTTCTTGTTGTTCTCACCTGATTAAGTTTATTTGTTTATGGCTATTCTAATTTCTGTTCTATTCGTTGTTCGTTGGTGAAATTTATGGTCGCTCCCCGATTCGTCCCTTATTCGTCCCATCTCAAATTCGTCCCACTCTAATTGAGTCGTAACTCGTCCCTTTCTCAATCCGTCCCCGATCCCAATTCGTCCCTTTCTCAATCCGTCCCCGATCCCAATTCGTCCCTTTCTCAATCCGTCCCCGATCCCAATTCGTCCCTAATTTTATTTGAATGCACCTATTATAGTGGCATCTTGTAGAGGATAATTACTAACCATTGTTAGGTAGTCATCGACACATCACGTCGTCAACAATTTTGTCGAAGTTGCAACTTCGACAAAATTGTTGACGAAGTTGCGACTTCGACGGCCGATGTAACTTCAATCCGATATATATATAGCATTCATTTTTTCTCGGATAATTCATTAATAAGGGTTTGTGGGTGTGGATGGGTGTGGGTGTCGGTGTGGGTGTGAGTGTCGGTGTGGGTGTGAGTGTCGGTGTGGGTGTTGGTGTCGGTGTGGGTGTGAGCAAATTAAAGATTCACACCCACACCCACCCACGCCCACACCCTCTTGATTGATAGACAATTAGGGACTAGTTAGGAGTGACTGAAAAACGAGAAAGGGACGAATTAGGAAAAATTCAGAGTGGGACGAATAGGAGATGGGACCAATCACGGACGAATCGGGGGTAAACCAAATTTATCATTTATGGTTTTTTTCTGGTTTTTGTTGTTCTTCGTACTTGATCAAAGTTATTGTTTACGCGTATTTTTTTTGTTTCTTCAGACGTGATTAAACATGTAGTATTTGGCTTTTCTATCATTCATTGTTAATCTTATCTATATTTGTCATTTTTCTCGGTAATTTATTGTAGTATCATCAGCTGGCGACATAATAAGTTCAGTTTAATTATTTTGTATATTATGTAATAGCGATACTCATTTGTTATTTGTATTCTTGTTTCATTGAAATTCTATTATTATCTAATGTTGACTTTGATATAAAAATGAATACTATTGCTAGAAAAAACAAATTGTTTTTGTTTAATATTTATTCAATCTAAGGATCAAGTCGATCTAGCTTTTATGTTAGAGACATACAAAAAAAATGAAATATCCTATTATATATAAAGAGAAATATTATATTTGTATTAATAACCTTAAAACAAGAATTTCTAGCTGTCAGAATATCGATAAAAACAAAATACGAGATACACTAAAAAAGAAGGATTAGTGTCAGGAAAGGCATCAGATCGTCTATATTCCATACAATGGATTATTTAATTTCAATCTGAATTTAAACAGAAAAAAGAGCACTTGATTTCAAATTGAAATAAGGGACTAAGCGGACTATTCAGTGGGGAAGCGTGTTTTCCCACCTAACACACTTTTTATTTCAGCGTCGCGGTGTGGGGGCACGAAGCGCCTCCCGAAGAGCCGCGACCCATGCACGTCTCTGTGTACACCATTATTCCTACCCTTACTCCGCTTAGTTAGTCCCCTTAGTCCCTCTGTCTTGATAAAAATGGAATGTTATTTTTTATTCAAAATTCAATTTGAAATAAAAAAAACCCATAGACTCCTATATTCATACGAAGAAGAATGAATTCAGATTTTAGTTCATAATTAATGATGTACACATTAAATTAACATCACGTTATTTACCACCACAGTACAAACGATAATAACTCTGTCAAAGAAAAAAAAGATTTTTCATTTATTCAAAATATCTAATCAATTTACCTGTTTGTCTTAATATGTACCGAATTATTCTTTATTATCCAATAAAGACTTATTTTACAATATAAATTCACAAATAGAACATAATTGATCAATAAAGAAAGAATTCCACCTTTCTGTTCGAGACTATAATCAACAAGGGGGAAAAAGCGGATCCCGGATCCCAGGATCCCGACGGATCCCGTTGGATCCCATTGGATCCCGTGGATCCCGTTGGTTTCCAGTGGATCCCGTGGATCCCGGTGGATCCCAGTGGATCCCGGTGGATCCCCGTGGATCCCAGTGGATCCCAATGGACGTTTTTAAATGTTTCTGAGATTATATTAACCTTCAATTTCACTCGCTCAACTCGCACATGCATCGATTAAGGGTGAGGTAGTTAAGCGATATTATTTTTCACTAGTTACTCTTATCATTTTTTCCTGTTAATGTCTGCTTCGTGAGACAGATTCTCGGAATTATTATCATCTTGTAGAAAGTTGTTCAAAAGTTTGTTACTGTCAAGAAAAAGGCTAAAACGTGGTAGGTAATTGGAATTACATATAAAAGTGAAATTTTAGTCTAATAAAAGAAAATGAGAAGGATGGAGTAGTTCATCAACACATCTCCCATTATTCAATCAGAGTTGATGTTGAGAGAAGTTAAAATGGGCTAAGGTTTTGGTTCAGACCAATTAGATAGTATTTATGCAAGGGGGGAAAAGCGGATCCCAGATACCAGGATTTCATAGATCCCAATGGATTCTGCTGGATCCCAGGATCCTAAATGGATCCCAATGAATGCCAATGGATATGAAGAATATTATGGCTCAAAATTAATTACAGGCAAGCTGACTTTGATTCCAGTCGATGCAGAAATGTATTTTCCATCAAACTGTATGGAACTTTGGCTTGTTCATAATCGATTTCAAACCATTATATTCTTCACATACATCGGAGACGGCGATTGGGGCCGCTTATTTCTGATACCAGTTAATCCCATTGAAACCCACAGTTACCCCGTTGACCTGATTATGTATACATGTCCAGACTTGGCTTCTTTTTCTCGTTTTCAGGAAAAAAATCTCATCTCTCACTTTCTTCGAATATCAAGTGAGATAACATCTAAAATATACAGCAATAGCTTGAAAGTTGTTGAGCATAAAACGATCAAATCGATTCGTTGACCCGATGTTCAATAACCGTTAGGTCTTATTCTATTTTACGTTCGATCTTGCTTGATGTCGAAAGGTAGCGAAACATGAGTATTTCAGTCGACCCAAAAAAACAGATGGAAACAGCTCAGGCAGACAGCCTTCGTCTCACTGCATGCCTGCTCCTGATAGAAGCTAATGGATCACATTGAATCCAAATGGATTCAAGTGGATCCCGCTGGATCCCGCTGAATCCCACTGGATCCCACTGGATCCCACTGGATCCCACTGGATCCCACTGGATCCCGGGATCCGCTTTTTCGCCCTTGAATATTCTACTCAGCTTCCTTATATAACTTATTTGTATGATAGAAACCTCCTTGTCTTGTTTTCCATATAGCAATACATTTTCGTAAGATTCATTGCATCTTCTTTTACTTTTTTTATTTCATATCTTCACAAAAATAGTTCATTCTGAAATTATTTGAAACTTTCTAGTACTACTGTGTATCGTGCATCGTTATGTGATTCCTTAATATTTTCTCACATATTGACATGGGATTTTTTTTTCTTTTTATTATCATTGATGTTCTTATCAAAATAAAGTAATAGTTATGAAGATAAGAAAAATGTCAGCTATTGAGAGTTGTAAAAATTCTCATAACGAAAATAACATAAGAGTTTTTCAATATAGCTATATCTTGCTATGAAAACTAATTGATTGCTAATTGTAAAAAGTGAATGCCAGGAAAGTTTTCTGAATTTTTGAGCATCCCATTATGATTTTCATTTGTAAATATTATTGAGATCAACATATTTAAATATAAAATTAGAACTTCTTGAAATATTCTTCAAGCTTTGTCAGCCTAACTTTATTTAGAGTGATCAACGATAAGATCTTTTAGAAAATATAACTATCACAATACGTGACAAAGAATTCTTAGAGTATACCTGTGTTTGATTAGGAAATAAAATATGAAACAAATGGACAAATTTTTCGTCATGACAAAAGATTCATTCTTATATCAATTGTCATGAGAATGAATTTCCACTATAGGATTATATTGACGGTGAAAGTCTATATGGCTTTACTCCTGTGAAATAAATTGCAATGATTTTTTTCTCTCGTTCTGTCATGGTTTTTTTCGTGCTGCAACGCCTTCACCTGTGTATATATATTTCTTTTTTTCATCAAATGAAAAAAAAACCTATCATGAAATTCATTTGATCAACTACAATGAATATTGTATCAACATGTTAGAGCTTATACAAACCAATGAATTATGCTTGTCTGTTTGATCTAAATCTTCTTCTTCTTTTCCATATTCGAGTTGAATAACCAAGCATGTGGACAACAATGGCAGGGTGGGTGTGTGGTTGGGGTGTGTGGGTGTGAGGACGAATAAAAGAAATACATCCACACCTATACTTCACACTCACATCTACGCCCACACAACCACTCACCCACACCCACACCCCACACCCACACCCCACACCCACACCCCACACCCACCCCCCACACCCACACCCCACACCCACACCCCACACCCACACCCCACACCCACACCCCACACCCACACCCCACACCGCACACTCACATTCATACAACCATCCACACCCACATCCACACTCTCAATCTATCTAATTTTAGTAAAATTATAAACCCACTAGTTCAATGTTATTACACAAATAGAGTTCAGTTTGTATGTCAGTTGCAATCATTTAAGAAAACACCGACGTTGTTTGCATTACGGTTGGCAACAAGGGTGTGGGTGGGTGTGGGGTGGGTGGGGTGTGGGTGTGGGTGTGGGTGTGGATGTGGGTGTGGGTGTGGGTGTGGGTGTGGGTGGGTGTGGGGTGTGGGTGTGGGTGTAGGTGGGTGTGGTTGTGGAGTGTGGGTGTGGGTGGGTGGGTGTGGGTGTGGGGTGTGGGTGTTTCTCTTAGTCATCAACACCCACACACACCCACACCCACCCACACCCACACCCACCCACACCCACACCCAC